AGTATATATATATATATATATATATATATATATATATATATATATATATATTTCCGGGCTGTTTTTTTGCCCGCCCGGTTTGCCCGGGCCACCCACCCGGGCAGGCCCGGCCGGGCGGCGTCCGTACTCAGAAAAAAACAAAAAAAGGGCGACACTGCCGCGACAGCCTTGAGATGTCATCATCAAACTGACTGGCCCCAGGTGAATGCGGGCCTATCTCAGTTGGTAAGGCACAGAAGTTGCATTCAGGAGGTTGTGGGTTCAATCCCCACTGGCCTCATGTACGTGCCTGGACAAGCTTGGTGTTCTACCAGCTAGAGATAACCCGTTGGCCCGCCAAGCCAGTATTGGCAGGACCTTGGCTGATGTTGTTGGCTGCTATGCAGCGACAATATAGGCCATTAGACACGGCCATGTGGGGTTCGGGGGTGACTGGCCATTTCTCGGCGCTAGCACCGCCAGCAATGCCTGCCCACCCCGCGTCACCAGGACTGGTACAGCCTTGCTCTTGCACCACGGCTGTGGTGCCAACCTATCCCGTGGGCTGGGGAGAGATTGGGGTTGGTTGGTGTTTCCCTGTACTATACATACATAGACTAGTGAGAGCATGAGATAGATGTGTACTACCAAGAAAGATGAAATACATGAGAGAAGAATATAGCTTACCTTTAAAATAACTTAAAAAAAAGCATTGTTGCTTGGGTCTGGTTTTTTTTTTTTTTTTTTTTTTTTTTTTTTCCGGCAGTTCATGGGTGTGCCAACGGAGCTACGCCCGTAGGTACCTGGTAAAAAAAATTTATCATTGCATTGGTGTCAAATTTAACTGCGTTGGTACCAACGGGCCTAGCTGGGGTGGCACACCCATGACCTGTTAAAAACATGCAGACCTCGAGCTCGAATCCAGATGGAACTAGATGAATGAAAATTATGAAATATTGTACTCTTCTGAATTACCTGCGCCCCCAGTCAGTTAGACCATGATATCTCTTTTTTTTTTTTTTTTCCGAAGAACAATGTGGGAGGATCCTGCCAGCATTGATTACCCTCAAGCTTGTTACCCTCTGTTTTCATTTTTTGTTTCTTTTTCCAAGTACTGCGCTGCTAATGCACCACTAACATAACCATACTTTTGCCTCATTTTGTTTGTTTGTGTTTCGTGTTTCGGCCGACGCAATTCCTTCTGTTAAATCTCTTTTCTTTGATGAATGTCACAGCTGGTTCGCCCTGCTGCTGCAGCTGAAGACCGTTATCGTCAAGCTCATGAAGCGGTCTTGGGCCGGCGTGAATACAGTGGGAAGGTACGCAAGGAAGATCCACAGACCTTCCATCCCCCGTCCGAAGTCCCATCGTCCAAAATCGCAAAATCTCTCGTCGGAACGTTTGGTCCGTCCCGGATCGGCGTCCTGGTGTGCAAGTCCTGCAAGCAGCTTTGGGTTGCCGACCCCAACGAGCTCGTCAGAGATGAATCCGCAACAGGAACAGGGTCAAGTTCAGGATTCTTGCGCAAGCTGCGAACTGCATGCTCCGACGTTTTCATTATTGGATATGGACGGACCTATGCCAGCATGCGAGTCGCCGGAACCTTTCGGGACCATGTCTTCTGCAAGTTCCGTTTCCGGCGTATCGACAGCTCAGCCTCAGCAGACTGGCGATCATTTGTTCATCTCTTCAACGGGTGCAATGAGGTGGTCGCTTCCTGCACTCGTAGAAGTCGACGAGGATCAACTGAGTCATTCAGGGCAAAGCAGTGCTCCCTAGTCCCACACTTCCCCCCTCGGGGGACATCAAATCCATGTGCAACCCCTCTTAACCCCCTCGGGACGCAGAATCGCGTGGGACCTGGGAGTGCCTTACCTTACCCTTGGAACCAACCACCTTTGGAACTCGAACGCGCCGGGGGGTCAGAAACCCGTAGGGCTTCGGTTTGCCTTGGGACTTGGGACCGTCAATTCGGCGCCTAGAAACGCCCTTGGGACTTGGGAAAATTCTAGGGACCTGGAAGAACTGGTTTAGACCTGGAGACAACCACCACCTCCGGGACTCAAAGATCCCGGACACGCAGAAACCCCTTGGGACTTCGTTTTGCCCTGGGACTTGGGACCTTCTTGGTAGTTGAAATGCCGTTGGGAATGGAACAATCGTTCAAGTACCCTCACAGCCATAAGGCTTCGATTTGCCTTGGGACTCGTGACGGCCTTGGGAATCGGGACTCGTGACGGCCTTGGGACTCGGGACTCGTGACGGCGCAGAAGGGTGAGTAAACTGAAGTTGCCAATAATTTCTGACTGCATTTATCCAGATATGAGTGTTAAATGCAGTCAGAACTGGATTTATCCAGTCTGACTGCCCATTGGGCCATTGAAGAAGATGTGCATTGCAA